ACAAGACAAGGCCGAAGTCGTTGGTGATAGTGATTCTCAGCGCCTGAGACAGTACTCCATAGGAGGTCTTGAGGTTACACGCGCGCAGCATTCTTGAACGAAACTGGTTGACAATGTGCCATACGCGTTCTGCACAAACGGATTGATGTATGTTTCCCTCCTATCTTAGTGCAGGTGTGATAAACATTTGGGTCGGGGTTGATGCATCCAATTCCTTCGTGCTTTAGCCCAATTCGTTACCTGTCAGGGCACTCCACAGGCGGTCTTCCTGAGGAACGTAGGCGGCGTTTTCCAAGAAAAAGGACTTGGACATAACCTTGCCATTAACAGTTACATCGCCCGTGACGTCCAGCCCTTTCGTGCCGGCCGATATCTGTTTTCGCATGTGCGTCCCCGCGCGGGAGTCATTTGGTTGGGCGGTGCGGGTGGAGCTGTAACGAAGGGGGGGGCTATGGCGTGAAGCCGAGACACACAACAGGGGTAACACGGTGGAAGGGAGACAGCAGTGAGCCCTTCGACGGTCATTCGCACCCAGAGGGACCGCCAAAGCAACGAGCGGGGGGGAGAGAGGCTCACGATTGGAGCCCCTGCGAACATGGAGTATAGTCTACACGAATCAGATGTAGGAAGGTGCCGAGTGAAATTGGCCTGCTTCCGCACAAGCTCTTATGCGCCTGGTCCACTCTATCTCAGCACTTAAGCCCTCTCGCCCTCGCATTCTGGGGGACCATGACACATGTACCTTTCCGACGAGCACGTCGAGCAGAGACGTCTTGCCCGCTCCGCTAGAGCCGATGATAGCCAAGATCTGCCCGGACTCTACCGCTCCGCTGACCCCCCTCAGGATGTGCTTCACCCCGGCCTCCCCCCCCATCAGAGACGCCTTCATCTTGGAAACCTCCACGCTATAGCGCACGTCGCGAAAACGGAAGTCCACCTGGAGGAGGCAGGCGTGGGTCAAATGCGGGCAGCCACCAAATATATATTTTTGTTCTGGTTCTCTGGCTGGCAGATGCCCCAAGAAGCCTTGCCTAAAGACACTACACGGAAAGTTCTCCATAATTGTGTAAAATGTTTTGAAACGAATTCTCAAACTCCCACGGGAGTGTTTCGTAGGCGAGCGCGCACTCGAGTATTTCAAGCAAGTTTTCTTTGTCTCCGTCCTTGAGTTCGGTGAAGGAATTCAGGTCGAATTGTTTCTTTCTCAAACGATGGAGACCGATTGAGTCCAGCGCTTTCGCTGAGGCTCCGAATTCCCCCGTGTGCGCAAGTCATCCGGGCCTGGACACCACTGGACACCGCAGATTTGTCTTCGGAAACTTCTCATGCTTACAGTAGATGCTTACAGTAGACTTACCCCGACGAACGTTCTGGAGGAACCTCTAACAAAACTGTGTTGTGATATACTAAAACGTTGAGGATGCTTGAGTAAAATAGTGGGGTAGGCTGATGTACTTGTCTCCGTCCGGAGTACGGATGAGAGTGTTTTTGTTTCTTGCTCGAAGGATAAATATAGTGAAGGGCACAGGTTTCCTCAATGTTAAGGTGTACAGCATATTCAATATGCTACAAGTCAGCACTCAACAAACACTAACGTGTGATACATATACCCTCCAAAAAAAAGCTTACAACGGCAATAGTGTTGCAACAACTTTAACCGTACATATTGCTATCACGAACGTTCACATGGTGGAATACGTCGCCCACCTTCGGCTCGCCGGGGGAGTTCCCGGATTTACCCAGGGGCGCTGCTGCCCCGTTGCGACTCCCGCGTTCCAAATCTTCATCAGCTTGAGGGGCCATCATCTGATGATTGAAACGGATGGACAAAGTGAGTGAACGTGGAGATCAGGTGTTGGTGTAGTCTACATCTCTAGCGACGACAATGAGACACGCGGCATTCGACAAGGATGAGCTTTCTGACCTCAACCCTCGTGATCGGTGCACGACGCTGCCATTTGCTTTCCGCGTCCGGCACGCGATTGTTTCTCTTGTGCCACTCGTTTGAGCTTCGGAGCATGCGATCGACATTTGACCCTGGCGTTGCCTCCCATTAATCTCGTAAGGTCAAGCAAGGTCATATTTTTCGAACGCGAGGTAGTCGTGTCAGAAGCAAGGACTGTAATAGCAAGAATGCGTAGGTGGGAAAATAGCAAAACAAACAAGTAAACAAATCCGACTAACACCAACCAAAAACCAAAGAAAGGTACAAAAAGGTGGCAAGGTCATATTCAGACGAAGGCAAATCGCACGGTAGGGGACACATAGCTGCTCAATACGCAAAAGTCATACATTGACATGCTCGTTATTTGATTCTCCAGCAAAACGTCTTCACCGGGAACCGGTGGACCAATCCACACGATGAACCAATGCTACACAAGTGGTCCAAGTGCTGTAAGCGCTCCTCTGTATTCGTCAACGTTCCGCTAAAGCCCCCGCGTGAGAGAGCTATTGCGATGTACGTGGGGGCACCAGGAAGCACAGGCGGCGTGGTGGTCGGAGTTAAAGCGGGCGGGTGCGAGGGAGATCTTGATCCGTCCTGGGGTGTATTTGTCGGCAGTCGGGGTGTGCCGGGACATTTTTCCAAATCACAGTAGTGCATTCGGGATTTGTACCAGAAATCGGCGCCAACAGGGATGGCGGCGGTGCTGAAGCGTCACAGTCAGACGTGCGCAGCAGGATCCGTGGTTATACCCGGGAAAGGATGCATACCCTCTCTTGGTGCGGGTAAGTATCCAAGCAGCCGCTCCAACCCGCGTGCGGTTGTAGATATGGTTGGTTGGGCGATGCTGATCTGGGTAGCCTTGCCAGTCTTGAAGCATGTGTCCTCGCGAGGGTTAAAAGTCCATCTCGCGTTCCCAAGATGGTCGAAATATGTAATGTGATCGTGGGGGCCAGCGATAACGCGGCCGCGTTTACAGACAAATAGCCTGTGATTTGTTCCGTCCCGATGCGTTCGTGGCCTGGAAATGTCATCCTCGTTGACGTGGTACGGAGGGGATATGTCGGAGTAGTTCTTGAGAGCGCACCGCGAGCGGTTCACACGCAGAGTACGAGGTACCGCTTGCAGAGCGTGTCGCGTGAGGTCAACGCGGAGAACACGAGGTATCGCTTGCAACTTAACAGAGCGACGCATTGCTTGGCGTTTTCTCCTGCCAACAGACGTCTATCGGGGCAACCGGGTTGGTCCCTTCCCGAGCTTTCGACATCCCCGCACGAAGATAGTGTCGAAGACGGATGGTCATGGGAAAGTGAGCAATGCCGCCGATGTGCACTTGGCTGGGGGCGAACCCGGTGGCGGCACTCTCAGTGTTGTTATACGCAACTTACACATGAGGCCGGTGAACGTCCCAGTTGTCCTACCTCTCATTGTCGGACGCAGGTAGCATAGCGTGATCGACGCATTCCATGCTGCCGTTGCCACACGGGTGGTAGGGGCTCGTGGTCACAACGCTTACGCGCAGGAAATTGGAGATGGCGTCAGATGGTTTTGAGGACAATCGTATGTACGCTATTGTCGGAAATGAAGGCTCCTCCAGAGGTGAATGCATTGGTTAACGACCACGTCGACGGTGCCTTCAGCGGTGTCGGTGGAGGGAGCAACAAGGTAAGTTTCCTGCTGAAGCGGTCAGTGAAGAAGAGGTTGTGAGAATGTCTCCTGGAGTATAGTACAAACGGAGAGGTTAAAAGTAGTCAATAGTGATGGCCGCACCCGGCCCTGACGGTCGTGGAAGGGCGGGTGTGCGGCTTCGACGAGTCAGTGTAATCATGCCGCGCCCACAAGCGGGTACAAGCGCTATGGTTGTTCCAGAATGCTGAGAGTTCTGGCTGCTTCAAGGTGGCATTAAGTGTTGGAGTGGCGTTCGAACCCCACGCAAGTGCACATACATGTGTTCAGGCACACAACAGCGCGTAGGTTCACCTTGGAGGAGGCATGTAGCTCTACCTAGCCGGCCTGTGTCCGAAGGTAGTGGTTTGGTGAGTCGTCGCGCCAAGGGATGGCCGTGATCACCTGTGACGATGCGACCAATTGCAGCGAGCTCCTTGATTTCTGCAAAGGAAGGACGTAAGTGAACTGTATCTACAAGTAAGACGGACAATCCGACCGACGACCGACCGGCCGACCGACCGACCGAACCCAACCCTACTGTACCCTGTATCCTGCACAACCCAACCCCAACCCAACCCCAACCCGTCCGAACGATCGACCGACCGACTGACCCGACCCACACCCTACCCCAAAGCCACACCCCTACACCCAACCCAACCCAACCTAACCCATTAACACAACCCGACCAACCGACCAACCAAACCCACCCTACCCAACCCTACCCAACAAAACACAAATCGCAACACAACCAACCCCAACTCAACCGACCGACCGACCGACCGACCGAGCCAACCCACCCTACCCCCAACCCAACCCAATCCGACCCCAAAACACAACCCTACCACCCGACCGACCAAACCTACCCTACCCAACCCAACCCAACCTGATCCCAAAACACACCCCAACCAACCGACCGACCAAGCCCACCCAACCCCCCTACCTACTAAACCTAACCCAAGACACAACACGACCAACCCCAACTCCAACCCGACCGACCGACCGAATCTCAACCCACCCTACCCCCAACCCAACCCAACCCGACCCCAAAACGCAAAACCCGAGCACCCGACCGACCAAACCCACCTTATCCCCAACCCAACCCCCGACCGACCCTACCCTACGCTACCCTACGCTACCCTACGGTACCCAACCCAAAACCCAACAAAAAACACAGAAACCAACACCAACACAAACCCAACCGACCGACCGACCGACCGACCGAGACTCAATCCACCCTACCCCCAACCCAACCCCACCCGACCCCAAAATGAAACCCGAGCAACCGACCGACCAAACCCACCCTAACACAAACCCAACCCCCGACCGACCCTGCCCTACGCAGTTTGCCACGTAACCACATGATGGTATTCATATGCACAACATCCACATGGTGTATACGAGGTAAAATCCGGCTCGTTATCCCCTAAAAACCTAACCAATCAAGTGACGAAAACAGATACCGTTCGCTACGCTACGTCGTTCGCTGCTACTTTATGGATGGTGGGAATAGGCCGCACATTGCGTACTCCGGAGTAACCACAAGAGTTGGCATACACATGGTTTCATACTTGGCATGCATACGAAGTACTTTGAAGCACTACCAGTTCAGGGGTGCCGCGCTTAGGGTTGCGTGGTAAACTGCCTCGACATGCTGCTGCTGCCCTCACGAGTCGGTGTGCACTCGTCGTGGTGGTTGGTGTTTTTGTGTGTGTGGCGCGTGTGTGTTTTTATTATTAGCATCGACCGCGCTAACCGGCGCGTGCGTGTGTGTTCTTGCTGCATGCGCGTCTTTTTGTTCTGTATGCGCGCCCGTTGGTTTTGTTGTCCGTTGTGTGTCACGCATATATTTGTGGCGTTTGCCGTTAGTGCGCTGCTTGCCGGGCTTGCCGCGGGCATCTTCCCGTGCCTGGTATCGTCCCGTGCCGGTACCGAAGGGGCTTGGCATGTTTCTGACATGTTCCTCCGCGGTCGGTCCGCAGTCGGCAGCCATGAACAGGAATACTGCCATGGATACGGTGTCGGGAGGTTCTCAGATGTTCCGAGGCTATTCGATGTTCTACCGTGCGGCGACGTGGAGGTCGATTTCCGCTCGATTTCCGTCGTCCGTAACCGGTCGCCCAGGTGGTCTAGTTGGTAACCTCGAAACCTCCTAGAGGTCAGGTCAGGAGTTCGAATCCCGGCGTAAGCGAGCTTTTCTTGCACAGTGAGTTTTTCTCTCGCTTCCGCTCCTGGCCTAGTGGATCGCGCTAGTTCGTGTGTACACAGAGGGAAGAGAGTGCTGAACTCTCCTCGCATTAAAATTCGAAGGCAACGTACCGCAGGAGGGGAGGGTAGAGAGGGGCTCTTGTGTGTGACCACGGGTTGGAGTGAACGGCACTAGTGCCATGAGCGCTGATTTGGAGTAAAGACAAAAAAAAAAAAGCGGACACAAGTGGGTACAATTTGGACGAAAGTGGGTCGAAATATAGACACGAGTGGTGGGTGCATGACAAAAATAGTTGACGCCGCTGGGTATACCCACCGCAATGTCGGACAGAAGAGGGCACTCTGGTGAGGCCTTGCGCGCCTCTGCGGTATTAGGGCCGAATGTGTGCCTGAACGTGGGAAAAAATCGATGCCCGTGCTGTGTATGGTCCCTGGCTGTGTCGCCCAGGTGTCAGAATGGGGTTTTGAGTCGTTTGGGGGTTGCCTTGGGAATGCGCGCTAGATTTTCGAGTACACCCACTTTTGTCCGTTTCCTTTTTTTTTTGTGCCCGCCTGCTGTTATGTACAGCAGTATTTTTCTGCAAACATCCTCGTGACTGCTACTGCTGTTGCTGTGTCACTCATGCGCCACAACCGCGGCCGCTCTGGGCGCGAGACACGGCGTGCCGCACCTTGCGTGCCTCGGTCTCCCTCCGCGCGAAAGGAGAGCGCTGGGTTGGTAGCCGTGAGGTTTTGTTCTACGACATACCTCCCTTCACTTTTCTCCCTTCTTCCCCTCGCTCCTCGACAAGCTTTTGCTTAGACATGGGTTGTAGTGAAGGGGGGGGTCTTTCTGGCGAGCAGGGCTAGACTCACCCTCAAGGGATGACCGAAACCTTCTTGCTGCTGCGCATATCCGCCGCGAGGCATGCGCGTGGTGGTGTAGTTGGGTCGGCAC